AAAAAAAAAAAAAAAAAAAAACGCTTGTTGAATGTCCTCAACTGACAATACGGACATGCACATCATCTTCCATTCACCCCAGGAATCCATGATATATCCAGCTGCGTGTGTCCCTTCAGGGCATGAGCATTTTCCTTCACCGTCTTTTTGTCAAGAAAATTTTATCAATTGCGTTGAGACCAGCTGATCAGATCCATAATAATTTACAATTTGGAAGATGCATAAAGAGAGTCTCTGAGAAATATTCACAGGACAAGAGCAAAAGCAGGAGGGAGGCAGGACAGGGAAAAAGTCTCTGTCTTTGTCGAGAGCAAGTCAGAAAAGAAATTGAGAGCTTTGTCTTTCGACTCTGCTCTTTCTTCATCACGACAAATTGAAGCAATACCATCATCACTGAGGAGGAGGCCCCAATCCATTGATTCATCTCCTGCTCCATCCTACCACAACACATGAACAAGATGCTCAGACACTTCAATTCCTCCACTTGAAGCAGAGTCTCCCAACCAACCAATGAGGTATTCCACTCATTTTTGGTCAATAACCATGGCCTCAGACCTTAAGGAACTGATTCTCATTCCAGCCACTTTAAACTTGGCTGCCAACCACCCCCAGTGCATGCTGAAAGTCTTGACCTGAAGACACCAACAGAACAGCATTGTCAGCATAAAGCAAAGACGAGACCATGAAGAGGCAGCACGGTGGCGCAACTGGTAGAGCTGCTGCCTCTCAGCAAGCAGGTCCTTGGTTCAAACCCCAGTCCAGGGGCCTTTCTGGGTGGAGTTTGCATGTTCTCTCCATGCATGCGTGGGTTTTCTTCGGGTGCTCCGGTTTCCTCCCACAGACCAAAAACATGCATGTTAGGTTGATTGGTAACTCTAAATTGTCCCTAGGTGTGAGTGAGAGAGTGAATGTTTGTTTGTCTCGTTTGTCTCTATGTGGCCCTGTGATGGACTTGCAACCCGTCCAGGGTGTACCCCGCCCCTCGCACAGTGATTGCTGGACACGGGCACCGGCGTCCCCCGTGACCCAAAATGGAATAAGAGGGTAAAGAAAATGGATGGATGGATGGATGGAGACCATGAAGTTCCCAAACTAGACAACCTCCTCACCCCAACTCTCATCTCGAGACCCTGTCCATGAACATCACAGAGGATTCCAACCCACACTGGTTACGAGCTTGAATTTGTACCAAAAATTGACACAGATCCTGCTTTGTTTATACAAGGACTGGATAGCCCTTAAAAATGATCCAGGCACCCCACACTAAGGCAGTACCCTCTACAAAATGCCTCAAGGAACATGGTCATAAGCCTTCTACAGTTCCACAAAACACATATATTAGAGAGGAAAACTCCCATGAGCCCCTTAGCAACTCCACAAGGGTTAATATCTGTTCCACTTTTCCACAACCATGACAGAAGCCACATTTTCTCCTGAATCTGAGGCTCTACAGTCAGTCGGAGTCTCCCTTCCAACACCCTAGAATAAACTTTCCAGGGGAGGGCAAGAAATGTGAGCCCATAGTTGGAACACACTCTCCAGTACCACTTTTTAAAAATGGGAACCACCAGCCCGGTCTGCCACTCCACAGGTCTTGTTCAAGTCCTCCATGTAACACTAAAGAGATGTGTCAGCCATGACAGCCCCACAACATGAAGAGTCTTCTCGATAACTATTATTATAATAATATTATTATTATTATAGTAATATTATTAATAAGTAATATTAGTATATTACTATTCATCTATTACTTTATTTATTTATATAACCTTTCAACTTAGCAACATAAAAAGGGATTGATCTAGAGGGCATTGTTATATATATATATATATATATATATA